TTCTACTTCTAACTCAAGCCTAAGTCCGAAGTCTCTAAGAGCAGTTCACGAACTCCGTAGCACCAGCGAGGATACTAAAATACTTAGGGTAGATTTTTAACTTCAGATTTTGCCTGGTCAGCGCCGTTAGGCTGCTCTGTTCTATTTCCAAATGCAAAGGATTTCTCACGTGCGCAACAATGCACACGGGCTTCCGATCTTACATCACAGAGGCCAGGGACAATTATTAAACTCCACGTGAAAATAATCCCAGCCGTCATCGGGGCTTGAACCCGCGACCTCTAGCACTCGAGGCTGACGCAATGCCATGAGACCACGCAGCCTCCAAAGTCGCTGCTAGACAGTTAGGATCTGCCAAAAGATAGAGTAGCTTGGGTGCCGACCATGCGATCTTTGACTAGCACCTTCACTGAGTGGTTTTAAGACAAATGTGACCTAGGCGCAGCGTCGCTTGATCCCAAAAGCTGATACCAGGAATGATTTGGGACGTAAAGGAGACAGCATCATCACCTAAGGCCGATTAGTTTGTATCACATTTTCGATGCGCTACCAAGGAAAAACATGCGTCCTTCAGGTCATACCACCTAGACTGTTCCTTCGAGTTATTTTGATGAATAAAACCTCGTCTGGACCAGGTTTGTCCAGATAGAAGTGAGATAAAACCTCGTCTGGACCAGGGTTGCCAATAAAAAAAAAACTTCATTTTATGCCAAACCCTGACCCAAAATATGCCAGATAATGCCAAACAAATTGTAACATTGTACTCACTTTACATCAAAAGCTCTAGATTGAATTCTTTAGTGTCGTCGTCACTGGACAAGTGGAAGACACAGCGTTGACCTTTTCGGATGTAAAATCTTTAAGCATTTTCTCAGATGGGGTGAAGTCTTTGCAAGTCATCTATAATGATGGCATATTTCTTGTTCCGAAATTCATCAATAAGGTCATCCTTAAGTGCAGGCGATATAATAGTTTTTATTAGGCATGAATATTTAGTTCTATGCAACTGAATGTGCTCCAATGTACTCACCCGACCAAGCGCTGTCATGATTTCACTCAATTTAGATGAGTATTGCACAATGGCAGGTCATGCCTACAGCAAGTTGCAACTCTGCTGCCTTTAACTTTATCATTACTTTGCCTAGCGGTCATTGTAATAAGCTGTGACTGGCTTTTTGACGGAGTTTTCATCCTGTTTTTCTGATTTTTCATGATTTATATGCTACCAATTCTTGCACTGACACAGTTTGCATCCGATCCGTCTGAAAGATCTTTTGAGCCGTGGATATGTTTTCTTCGAGTTACTATTATGCATACGATGTCATAAGATGCTTCCCTTTTTTTTTTTTTTTTTTTTTTGGATGACGTGGATATGGGTAAAAGTAATAAAATCTATCACAGATAAAACTAGGTCTATATCCTCTCTATTTTCTGTCCTCAAGTAGTTTCTGCACAGTCTGAATCACTTGGTATCAGGATGGATTTTGGATTTATATCCCGCATTTATTCTAGTAGATTAACATAAATTACAGAGGGCCTTGGTTTGTCGAAGTCACAATCCGTTTAGGAAGACAACAAATACAATAAGAAATGGTGCGAATCTCCGTTAGTCCGTACCTGGATATTACAGCAAAGTCAAACTGGAATAAAGATGTTAAATGTAGGTTTACATTGCTTTTAGTAAATCTGCGTGTTTCTAAGGGAGGAACCATGAAGAAAATGTGAGCACATCTTGATAAGAAAAGCCAGGAAAAACCCAAATATTCCAAATATTCATTATCTTATGCCAGTTCAATTTCAAATATGCCAAATTTGTGGAATCTGGCATCAAAATGCCAATATGGCAACCCTGGTCTGAACATCCACCAAGCGATTATTAACAACCGACAACACAAAGTGCCACCATGCAGTGGATCACCGTGGAGAGGTCACAGAAACCACGTCAACTCATATGTTGGGTTATACAGTCAGGGTGGGGCTTTTAAAATAAAAGTGCGTCTGACATTAGGATGCAGTGTTATGGTAGTACACTCAGTTACTTCTTAGTAAGAAGAATGCATTTATAGTAAATTTGAAGTTACCATGGTAAGTCACGTGACTACAGTCAACTTCTGGCGACTAGACAAGCACGATGTATCGAAAGAAACAATTCACATTTTAGTTGGATTCATTAAGTTGTTGTGCTTCATTTCATTCATATTGATGTACATCTGTTGGAACGCACATGACCAGAAATATTCCTGGCAAAAAATTGGGCAATGTTTTGTTTGTGTCCGCTTTATTTAAAGCTATTGTCTCAATGTGTATGTGCTCTTCATTGCAACAATCTGAAGGAGTTGAAATAGTACGAGTACTGATCAGAATGAATTACAGTACCAATGGGTTAATGTAACCCAAAAACAAAAACAACCCCCCTCCCTCACTCCCTACACTCCTCTCTCTCCCCCCCCCCCCCGAAAAAAAACTAAATTTGAGAAATTATTTTCGCGTATAGTAAATTGAGTGTAAAGTAAAGGGCCCTTTTCCACGCCTTTTGGTGTATAGGGCATATAGGGCTAGATCTATATTTCATAAACCAACGGCACAAGATGGGTGATGTGGTCAGCATCACGCCGGCCGCCTCTACTTCCCGGGGCTGCACCCGGTACCCACTCAAGGCTGGGTCGACCTGGGAGCCAAGGTCATTTTTTTAAGAAAAGTCCGGCTCCGCCAGGGAGCGAATCTCATGACCTTCCTTCCGATCCGCGGCGCGCGTTTAGCCGCTCTGCCACGATGACTCCCGATTTTCGCGTATACAGAATCTAATAACATGTGCTGGTTTGCTTTGTTGGGAACACTTTGTGTGGGTTTTTCCGCTGCCACATTTTGAGTGAACAAAGAATAGACCCACTGCCTTCATAACAAGATTTTCCTACAAAGCGACTAATTATGGGCGTTTCTTTTGTAGCTGGACTGCCTCAACCTGAGAGGTGATGAACTAACAGTCTGCACACCGGTCCATTGACAGGTACTTTCGGCATAGGCTGTCGGGAATTAATAGCTGGAGAAACAGAGGCATTGGTGCAGGAACTGATCAAAGAAAAATTACGTCAGGGGGATATCATTATGTGCACAGATATATCTGCTGTGAGATAAAGAAGAGAAATAAATGTATTTGTGGTTTTACATAGAGAAGTGAAAATAAATGTACTTTGTGTTTTACATAGCTAAGGAGCACGGAAGATGTTTAAAAAGAATAGTTCAGCGATAAGCCCGAATAATAACTGAATCGCAGAGCATGAGTAAGTCTTGCGCTAAGAGTTTCTTGCATCGCTTGATGAGACTTAGATAAGAAGTATATGGTGGATGTTTTGTATCCCATAATATTCAGGTATGGGTGGTAATGAGCGCTGCTGCTGTCCATCTGTTGGGGCGATAAGCCTACGGCATGATAATGCGTTTGTACGTAGTGAAGGCTTTCTGAGGTCAAGTATACAATGCAACAGAACTTTTCTTTTGTAGTTAGCAGAGGGACTAGGAGATTTTCTGCCGCTGGGAACAAACCATGCTACCAAATCATCATGCAGTTGACACCATCAGTAGGTGAATGATTCGATGGCTGCTGGGAATGGGGATGTATGGGATTGTCCTGTATGAAGTGATTTTAATTCTTCATTTATCAATTCATTTTGTCTCTTCCTTAAATATACCTATCTCTTTATATCAGGTTGTGAAAGGAATGGCAAATGTTATCCCGTTGGTGACAGTTTTACTTCTGGATGTATTCAAAGAACCTGTACTTTGGAGAACGGGAGAATTGGATATTCCTTAACGTCAGAGGGTGAGAGTGCTAGCAACATTTTGTTCACTTTTTTTATTTCTTCTTAGCATTTACCGGCTGTAGACTCGAGCGAAATGTTATGGTTTAGTTTGCCTACTTCTAGACTTTTTAGTTTTGTTCCATAATTAGAAGTTGTGTGTGCACATCCGTTTGACACATACATACATTCACACACACACACTTATACATACAATACATATACACACACAAACACACACATACAAACATAAACACAAAGTACACACACATCTACATACACACATACACACCACATACACACACATACACACATAAACACATAGTACACACACACATACATTACACACATACACACACATACACACACATACACACATACACACACATACACACACATACACACACATACACACACATACACACCCATGCACACACAATACACACACATACATACACATACACACACATATACGCACATACACATACATACACACACATACACACACACACATACACACACATACACACACATACTCACATACATATACACACACATATACACATACACACACATACACACACACACATACACACACATACTCACATACATACACACATACACACACATACACACACATACACACACATACACACAAATACACTCACACATACACACACATACACAGACATACACACATACACACACAAACACATACACACATACAGACATACAGACAGACATACACACACATACACACACATACACACACATACACACATACACACACACAAACATACACACACATACACACATACACACATACACACATATTCACATACACACACACACATACACACACATACACACACATACACACACATACACACATACACACATACACACACATACACACACATACACACACATACACACACATACACACACATACACACATACCACACATACACACACAATTACACCACACAACATACACATACACCACATATACACACCATACACACATTACATACCACACAACCATACACACTGCCCACCCACACCCACTCACACACACACCCACCACACACCCACACACACCACCCTTACCCACCCACCTGCACCCACACACCCCCACACACCCCCACACACACCCACACACCCCCCACACCACCCACACACACCCCCCCACACCCACCCAAA